GGATCTTCGCAGAAAACTTAAAAATCAATTTCAGATGATAAAAATCCTTTGTTAATTAATCTGTCCTTAACATTAAACAAAGACCCCTTTCCCATTGCCAAATTGGAGTATTCTCCACCCAACCTTAAGTCTACAGAAAATAAAATTTACTGTTCCCATTGTCCATCCCTCCCTTTCCTGCCTCTGTTGCCTCTATTCCCTATCTTTGCCAGTCTGTCAGGTTTCTTTTCTGTTGGACTGCCTATGAGTCCCACAAAATCAACTAAATAATTAGAGAGAAAGCCTGATCGGTTTTATTCAACTTGTGGCTCCCCCTTGGATAGTATCAGAATAAAGGGGGAACACTGTTAACACTGGTCCAGTTAATGACTTAATGCAAACAACATCATGTAAAAAAGATGCTTCCTGGACCTGTTTATGCAATGTTTAGGCTCAAATAATGACAAGGCCATTGTGTGAAGAGTATATTTGCCTCAGGCTGATCTGTCTTCCCCTATTTTGTATAATCCCTCTATCACCTCTTTATAAATGAATGGCCCCTTTTCTTTTCATTTATTTATTTATCAGAAACTTTTATGTAGGATATGGAAAGAGGGGAGAGCCTGAGATTTATTGTTGTACTTTTCCTCATATACAACTTATACACTGGAGCTTCTGTAACTTATGCATTGTAGATTCATGTTAAACATAGAAAAGGGGATGCCTCAGATCATGATGCCTTAGTATATAGAAATTTGTTTTCTTTCCCTTAGATCTGATTGAACTGTTTTTAAGAATCATATTCTTTACATTAACATTTTTGCTTGCAACAAGAAGTGGTTGGACACAAGCAATATTTTATATTTCATGGGATAAACTGGGATATCAAATGAATGGCTTTATTATAGTGAATGTGGCTGGAATTGTAGTTCTTTAAAAAAAACTCTCACACAAAGAAAACTCAAATGAAAGACAATACTACAGGAAAAGATAAAACAACCTTTGCTTTACCTTGTTATTTAGAGTGCATTCCCTGAATATTCCCAAGAGGTTGATAAACATGCAACAAAGTGCCTTCTCACATAAAAACATGTACATTAACAAAGCTTTAATTTAAATCTTTACTTAGATCAGCAGTTTATTTTCAGGTCAGAAGTATTTTATAAACTACAATTTGCTTTACCTAAAGTTAGTTTTACTTTTCTAATTATAAATATGAAATCAGAATATATATATATATTCTCAAATAATATTTTATATGTGCATTTATATTATGCCTTGTTGTATTTGTTTTTAATCGTATGCAAAACAGTCTTAATTCTTTACAAAAATTTTTAAATGAAGCCTATATATTAGTTATTACAAATTAGCCTCCTTTTAGTGTTGCTGGATAGGATAATAGCTTCTTAAATAATGGTATATCCTTACAAGATCAGGAACAGTCCAGTCTTAGCCTAATTATGCCATTATATGTCTTCTTCCTTCCTTCCTTCCTTCCTTCCTTCCTTCCTTCCTTCCTTCCTTCCTTCCTTCCTTCCTCCCTCCCTCCCTCCCTCCCTCCCTCCCTCCCTTCTCATTTTGCTCCAATAAATATTGAATTAGTGATTTGAACTGGAATAGAAGTTGTATATTTGAGTACAGGTGCAGTGGAAGAGTTGTATGCAGCTTCTAACTTTTTTGGCATAATATTGTATACAGTTCAGTTAAATTGTTGAGAGTTTACTTGGGTAGTATTTTACTTTTCACAATGCCTTGAAAAGATGGAAGAGGCTGCAAAGGCTGTTGGAAAATCTTCATATAAACAGTTGTAATTGAGCTGTGGGTCAGGGTACAAAAAAGATTTGAGAAATTGGGAGAAGTCATAGTTATCTCTTATGGGAAGAATTGCAGTGATTAAAATGAATGTCCTGCCAAAATTTCTCTTTTTATTTCAAATGTTACCTATTTTAAAGAATGAGGTTAACTTAAATGAATAGCAGAAAGGTATCAACAAACTTATTTGGGCAGGGAAAAAACCAAGGGTAAAGCTTAAAATTATGCAAGACTTCCGTGAGAGAGGTGGACTCAAGGTACCGAATCTGAAATTATATTATGATGCTGTGGCTTTAACACTAATTAGTGATTGGGTTGATTTAACAACTGTAGAAATACTCCATTTGGAGGGTTGGGATTTACTTTTTGGATGGCATGCCTATCTAATTTTTAATAAAAAACTGGATCGGGTTTTTAAATCTCATATTATAAGGATCTCTTTACTTCGGGTTTGGAGGAAATATTATAAAAGTGAGTTTAAAATACCATTATGGGCTATACCTTGGCATGCGATAGAGGGGATAAGGAGAGGAGTTAAGATGGATAGTGTTTCTTATGCACAATTACTTAGATGGGATGGGCAAAATTGGCAGTTAAAATCTTTGGAAGATTTAGCACATGAAAATATTACTTATTCATGGTTTCAGTATAGACAAATAGTGGATAGATGGAAGATGGATCGTAATACGGGCTTGCTTAGAGAAGATGAAAACCTTTTTAAACAAGTAAAAGATCAAAGGCGAACTCACATTAAGAGAATTTACGGGGTGCTAGTAGAACTGGATTCAGAGCCAGAACTAATTAAAGAATGTATGATTAAATGGGCACAAAATTTTGGTGAACCAGTTCTACTAGATACCTGGGAAACTATCTGGGTGAGGAATGTTAAATTTACACAAGCCCAGAACTTAAGGGAGAATTTTTACAAAATGTTTTATAGATGGCACCTTGATCCACAAAAAATGTCTCGTATGTATCCTGACTTACAGCCTAAATGTTGGAGATGTGGTTGTTTGGATGCTACTTATTCTCATATTTGGTGGTCGTGTAAAAATATAAAAGTCTTTTGGATTAAGATATGGTGGAATATTCAAAGAATTTTTAGAAAGAGGGTAAAATTTACCCCACAATTGTTTTTGTTAGGTATTGTTACTGATTGTGATGCCAAGGAAGTTATATTGATGTTAAATTTGATTACGGCCGCTAGGCTGTTAGTAGGGCAATATTGGAAGAAGGAATCTTTGCCTACCTTGCAAGAGTGGTTTTTTAAAGTTTCTTATTTGGCGGAAATGGCAAAGATTTAGGCTTTCTTAAAGGAGCAATCGCAAGAGAAATTCTTTGCGGTATGGGAAAAATGGATAAATTTTATACAATATAAATTGGATATAAAAAAATATCATTTAGCTTTTTAATAACTTGTATATAAACTTTAATATTTTATAGATTGTACTTTTTTATATCTCTTTTCTTCTTTCTCTTTTTTTCTTTTTTATTATCTTTTTTTCTTTTAAATACTTTTTCCTTTTAATATGTATGCTTTTTTAACATATATTTTATTGTTAATTACTTTATAAATTGTTTATGTAAGGTATTTAGATATATTTATGATTTATATTTTTTCAATTTTTTTTAAGATTCTTAAAAATTTTAATTAAGCCTATACTCAGCTCTGGGAAGATCGGGGGGGATGGAGAGGGAGGGTTGGGGTGGGTGGGTGAGGGTTGTTTTTTTTTGTTTTTTTTGCTTTTTGTAAAAATATTTAAAAATTGTCAATAAAAAAAAGAGTTGTAATTGTAATGCATATATCATACTAAGTCATGATTTGCTTAACTATGTTTTTTGTAATTGGCTGGATTCACCATATATAATGTGGATTATACAAATACAAACCCAATGGCTGGACTGATACAACACACTAACTTAGAACCAAACTGAATCTATTATGTGTAATATAGTATATGAATGTAGCTTTTGGAACTCTCTCTTTGAAAAGAGAGTTTGATCAGAATGCTTCAGGAGTCCCAAAATATGGTAACCATATTTATGTTTAGTTGTCACAACTGAGAGCACCTTTTCTAATTCTGATGCTTCCAACTATGTTTGGCTTTTAGCTTCCAGAATTCCTAGTCATATTGCTGGGAATTGTGGGAACTAGACTGTCAAAACATATGGAGAAAAACAAAACTGAGAAAATACATAATATTGATGTCACATCAGTTCCACTGCATTTCTTTCTGCTTCTAGGCAAAGTTAAAATGACTTATTAAAGTTTTTAAAGCCCTATATTGCTTCGGATTAGGTTACTTTAAATACATTTTTTTCTCATATACCCATCTGGGAATTCAGATCAGCAATAGAAACCTTGCTGCCAATATCATTTTGGAAGATTCATCGAATCAGCTTGTAGCCGTAGAGCTGAAAATCATAACACTTGATTGTCTTTGAATATGGAAGGTCTGCTGTAGACCTTATTCATGCTTTGTACATATTGTGATTTAGTATTGGCATGATATGTTCCTTGAATCTACCAATGAAAGTTTTAAATATAATGCATGACTTCTTGCATTATGCAAACTCAGCCAATAGATCATTCGTTAAAATAATATTATTTAGTCCAACGTATGAATCCACACCTATCTATGAATAGAATAGAATAGAATAGAATAGAATAGAATAGAATAGAATCTGGAAGGGACCTTAGAGGTCTTCCAGTCCAGCCATCTGCTCAAGCAGGAGAACCTATACCATTTCAGACAAGTGACTGTCTAGTCTCTTCTTAAAAATTTCCAGTGATGGAGAGCCCATAATTTCTGAAGGCAGGCTGTTCCACTGGTTAATTGTCCTCACTGTCAGGAAGTTTCTCCTTAATTCCAGGTTGCTTCTCTCTTTGGTCAGTTTCTAACAATTGTTTCTATGATTCCCAGCCCAATTTGTAATATATCTTAGCTTGTTGTGATAAGATTTTTGGCTTTTGTTTTTATTTTGTATTGGTTGCAATATGTTTTTTGTTAGTTAGAATTATATTTTAATAGATAAATTATATAGCTTTATGACTATATTGAATATTGCTCTGGAACTAGAAATGCACAATAATAGCAGTTGGACAAATATATGGGTTTTAGTCAACCCTGTAAAATGTTTTGATGAATAGATTTGTGATGAGTAAATGATGAGTAAAATTCCTCTTTCTCCCATTTTTTTTTCTTTAGGATCCAATTGTCAACAAGTGAGGAATTGGGCACAGGATCATCTTCTGGACACAATGCAGATAGACTTCAACATTTCTATCTATGAAGTCTCTGACTGGATGAGGTTGCTGCTATCCATGTTTTGGTGCCATCACCACTTTTAAGAAGCTGTAGTTTGGAGGCTGTCTACTGCTTCTACCTTTCACTGAAGGTATCTAGGGTCAGCAATATAAGGTCACAAGTGGAAATCCAACCCTTACAAAATTGCTTCCCCTGGACAAATCTTCACAATATTTTCTTTCCTTCTAGGGTAAAGGTCTCTGTATTCTTAGGGACAGGTAAAATATTACCTCTCCAATTGAGAGTTTTCTCTCTTGTGGAATTTACTGGCTTCATTGACTGTTAAAGAGCCATTCTCTCTAGTATAGGTGGCTTTAATATTTTTTGTTTTCCCAAAGGAGAAAATAAGCACTACTTTCAAAAATGGACTTTTCACTCCACTCTGCCTCTTTCACCTTGAAGGTGACCTTATTGTTGGGATCTTTTCTCAGCCTCTGTCTTGGCCTTGAGTTTATGGGCCTACCAAATCAGTGGGCTCGTTACCTCCGCTGGGATGCAACCACAAGAAGTGACCTAAGCTTCCAACTGAAAACAAACATCTCCGCTGGGCTCCTTCTCTACTTTGATGATGGTGGTGTCTGCGACTTTCTCTGTTTATCCCTGATAGATGGACGCATTCAGCTGCAGTTCAGTGTAGACTGTGCTGAGGCTACAATTGTTACAGAAAAGCAGGTCAATGACAGCAATTTACATTTTTTGATGGTTAGTCGCAACCATCTCCAGACAGTTCTGGTTCTTGATGGTGAAGCTAAACCTGGTGAGGTGCGCCCACAACGTCAGTATATGAATATTGTTAGTGACCTCTTTTTGGGAGGTGTCCCATCAGATATCCGTCCTGCAGCCTTAACCCTTGAGAGTGTCCTGGGTGAGCCACCATTTAAAGGATTTATCATGGACCTAAAGTATGGCAATTCAGAACCTCAGCTTCTGGGCCACCAAGGAGTCCGCCTGGACATGGAAGGGTTGTGTACAGAGAATCCTTGTGAAAATGGTGGAACTTGCTTTCTTCTGGATGGTGAACCACAGTGTGATTGCTCAGTTACTGGATATGTTGGAAAACTCTGTTCTGAAGGTAAGACTTCTTCCTGAAGGATTTTTTTGTACAAAAAAATCTTGCTGGCTACATCTATCTCCTCATTTTAGGTGTTTCAAAATGCTTAATCATCTTTGAAATAAAAAGAAGAATATGTGATGTTAGTTTAGCATGTCAATTCATAAATCATAGTTCTGAATCTGTTTTCACAATGTTTGCTGTACATTCTTAGCTTGGTTATTAAACATTTCCTGGATTCTCTGGTTTGGTCAAAGATTGCTTTGTATACATATTGCATCATCCTGAAAAATAATCATTGTCTTTATTAAAAATGAAAAATGAGGTAAAGTGTTAATTAAAGAAATAAGCAGCTTACCTTAATATCTTCCTCTGTCTAAAATAAGTTATAGCGGTTAAAGCAAAGACCAAAGACTCTTTGAACGCCTTACATGATGGAGAAACAAAAAAAGAAGTATGTATATTCATAAGAGCATTTAGATCATAAATGTTTAGCTGAAATTCTGCCACAGTGTTTTTGAATAACATTTTAAAGTTGTCTTTAACTGTTCAAGCCAGGTTGAAGATGGAAGAATGACTATATTATCTTGGACTGGGTGAGAATCTTTGTAAATATATGAAACAAAGATTGAGAACATAAATTTTAATTTGCTGTGTAATTTGCTCTTGTTTGCTTTTGGTATTCAACTGTTTCACTGTATGATTAAAATGCTTCCTTTCTTTTCATTTATCTCCCAAGTTTTCTCCTATGTAATTTCCAGGGAAAGTTAAGTCCTTCAGAAGTCTAATCCAGTTGTGAATCATGGATATATCCTCACTTTGGCTTTGGTGCAAGTTGCTCAAGAACAAGAAAAAGAATTCATCTTCACTCTACACAAAATAAATGCCACAGAAGGTATCAGTGGGAGCAACAAATCAAATTTGAATTCTACCAATAAATCAGTATATTGTGAGATAATTCTGAATACCTTTTGTAGACTTCCCCAACTTGATGCCATCTAGATTTATTGGACAACAGCTTAAACAATTCCCAGGTAAACTGGGAATTATGGTAATTGTAGTTCAACTCAATTAGAAATGAATTAATTTAAATAATTTTAGCAACTTGTCTACTGTTCCTCCTAACTTGTTGAATCTAAAACCTGTTTTAGCTTTTGGTATGCCAACAAATATCCTGTTTTGAGAAGCAGAAATGTCTCTCATTTCCAACCATTCCTTGACACTTAATTCATCCTCTTTGAGGCATTAAATGGTTTCACACCATTTCTTATTTCTTGGATTTCTATGTTGATTTGCAGCTGGTCACTGGCTTTTGCTGGGAATTGATGGGACTCAATCAATAGTTCCTATTTTAATAGCTAAATGCAGTGTGTAGGTTCTCAACTGAATTCAAGCCAATACTTGACTATTGATTGATACATGTGTCTCCGAATGGCAAAACTAAAAGAAGCTCATTTATTCTGTGGACAAGGAAAGGATATATAAATAAATACTTAGCCAGCCCCACCAATACTAAGGTTACACATTCCATTTACAGAATCATAGATTCATTAATGCAAAATTCAGTTCCTTTATGCATAAAGTACATAATGAAATCTTTTATAGAAATACTTGGTAAAATTCTACAAGAAACAGCACAGATGCATGGATTTTGGGAACAGTTTTCACACAGTATTTGTTATTATGCACCATGTAATCTTGGAAAGCTCTTTGGAAGCTTTTTCCTGGTGAAGCACCAATAGTAATTCCTAAATCCCTTTCTTTTTCTATCACTTCCATTACTGCACAGAAATGAAGATGACAGTAAGCATTACGGGTCCTTTGGTGCTGTTATCACCTGTTCATACAGACAAATGAATGATTGCTAGGAATAGTAGAGGATATCTAGATGACAAGTGGGGATCTGATCTTCATTGTCATCTATAATGCAATGGTAAACTGAAGAACAGGTTGGCAATGGGTTGTTGTGGGGTTCAGATGACTTAACAACTTATCCAACTATGCCACGTTTTGCAACCAGGCCATGTGAACATGCAGATATAACACTTAAGCTCAGATATTGTTTTGAAAAACTATTTCCTTGTGGATGGTCCAAAATTAAGCATTAGAAGGTAGTATTTACTGTTACCTAATACAAATCTTAGTGCTGCAACTGGAACAAAAGATTTATCACCGAATACGTCCTTTCCAGAACCAGATATTTTTCCCCTTTTTGCTCAGTTTCTCTTTAAAACCCTTTTCAGATTTTTCTCTAAATATTTTTTCCTCCAAATATTTCTATCCCATTCAACAATAATCACATGATGTTCTGAAGAATTAAAATGATGATGTGGCTGACAAAAGAATTGCACTTATTATGACAGCAAACAAACAAAAAGGAAAATTATATATGTTATGCTACTATCAATACTAATGAAAAGCTCCACTCAAAACAGTCCTAGTTTTGCTAAATAATTATGGACATTGATGAAAATGCTGGAATTTCAATTGAGATTCCCAGTTTTTGTCTTAAGTTACCATTCTTGGAGGAGAGGAAATATTAAACCTTTTAAATATGTGCTGTAAATGTGCTCACAGGATCCAATTATCATGAGTATTCAAGCAAAGTCCAAGAAGACTTGTGCATTTTGTTTTCAACACACAAAACCTATTGGCTGAATATACAGCTGACACAGGATAGGCCCAAGACAGAGTACTGCCTAAGGCACAGTAGTAAAGGAAGTCACCCACACAAAGTACATAGAGCTGGCAAAATTATTCTTGCAAATGAGAGAGAAAATCCACCAACTACAATTTGTGGCAGTAGTAATAAAATAATAACTAAATAAACAACACTGCTATCTTTTTATGATATCCAAAATCTGTCGCCTGAGGCAGCTGACTCATTCAGACTAAAAGTAAGGCCAGCCTCACAACTGTTATCAAACACAAACTCTTCAATTCTCAGTTTCCTCTGGAGATGCTCCAAGAACTTATAGAGCAAAGAGTTGTAATAGAAAAATTCTTTGTATCTCTCCTACCCCATTTTCTAGCAACATCTCAATAATTCTCTAGTTTTCTAAGATCAGAATGATGCCAGCAGGGACTCAAGTTTTCAGGATGGTCACACATGCAGATTGGCATGCATTAAAAAGAAGCACAGGAGTAAGAGTACTTCTAGAGCCCTACTGCTGTTCACCTAGGCAAAGTTGGGATGAAGTCTTGCTCTTGTTTAATTGTGACCAAAATGTTATGCCATATAACATCAGGGCATTTTCTTAGATGTGCCGTGTCAGTGGCACAGCTAGTAATGTTGATTGTTAAATTAGTAAGTCTGTTTCATGTCATGTGTATACATAGCTCAAGAACTACAATTTTCCATCTAATGTCTAGACTAGGAGTTGGAGAACTGGTGTCTTCTAGTTACCTTACATTTCAAGTCCAGCAAGTAACTAGTGTGGAAATTGTAATTCAGAACATTGGAAGAGCACCAGTTAGTTTGCTCTGATGGAGAACAATCCTGCACTTCTCAAGTTACACTTTTAGTCTTGAGAGCTACATGGCTGAAGAATGAAAATGACACCACTATCCTTCGCTATTTCAATGGTCAGAAGAGAGATCTCTACTTAGCATAATTTGAGGAGATACATCAAATACACATCCTTCCTATAGCTTTCCTGGGTTTTTCAGGTGGGGCTAAGTGAAAATTTTGCTAAGAAATTGCATTGAGCTACTCTGGTAGTAATGGTACCATATAGCCAACCTCACTACCTACTTCACAAAGCAACATCTCAAAGCCTCCTTCCCCCCACAGGGGCTGTTTCTAAACAAAGCCTGAATAGGGGCCTGATTGCACTTCTTTCCTTGATTGCAGAGCAAGATTTCCTGGGGATGCTGCCTCCGGAATGACAGTGGAGCTTGTTACTCTATAATTATTACACTTTTGACTATGGAGTGAACAGATTTCTTTGTGCTCCATTAAAGGAAAAGAAGGAGCCAGGACCTATCTTCCACCTGACTCTCTGGCATGGCCATGGCTTCCTGCTCCAGATGGGCTTTATGGCAGCTGCTTGATTTTTTCTTGCAGGCACACAATGCCCTGCTATCACCTTCTTTCAATTTTATGACATTAATAACTGCTCTGGAATAGCTCCAGAGCTTGATGGCTGTTCTTAATTTACATATATTTTGTAATCAAAAAACAAAGGAACATGACCATAATATTTGCTTCTACTTCCATTTTCCTGATGAGTGAATATGAATTGCTGTTTTTTAAAATTCAGCAGAGGTAAACAGACACTGGGTTCCTCTGATTTTTGCCCTGTTATTATTACAATTTGAGATGATGTGGAGTACATTAAGTTTTTTGGCTCTGATCCCAAAGCTTGGATTCCACTTAAGTCATAGTAATAGGAATCATAAACCAAAAATAAAAAAGAGAACTATATGAAGTTGTTGTGGTTGTTGATATTACTTTGTAAAAGTTCTATCATGGGCCAATCTCCCAAGTCTGCATCTAGCTACAAATGAAAAATCAGCTAGATATTTGAAATTCTAACATGATTGGTATAGGATGATCTTTAGAAAGTATTGGAATCATATGTTCTGCTAAAACAAAGTAGTATTGAGATCAAGCTAGAGTGAGCCACGGACCCCTTACATTTCAGTTTTTCCCTACTGATAGCTAAGTCACGAAGACGAATTTGAAACTTTCACTTCTAATTTTATTTAACAAAATAATAGAGTTCAGGACAACACTAAACTGTGATCAACAAATGCTTCATAGCCATACTGCAGAACATGTGCACTGAAGCACACTGTGCTCATCCTAGTTTAACAAAACTGAGTTAGTGGATGTTAAATTGGGCCACTGTCGTTGATGTTTTTGGTGGAAATCCACAAAAGGGTGGTGAATCACCCCCAATGAAATCTTTTATTCTTCCATGCAAATTTATTTTTTGCATGTTTTGATACTGTTTTCCAAACATATCTTAATTTAATGGTGATCCAGATGGCCACCAACACAAGATGAACTAATTAAT